AAAAAAATCTTACCGGGGGGGGGGGGGGGGGGGGGGGGGGCGTGCCCCCGGACCTCCCTAGTGGAATTGAGGTCCACCTCCACTTAAAATATGTTCACATGGATAGGTTCCTGAATAGATTTGCAAAAAAAAATTAAATAGTAACCCATGTCCATATGTTTATTCTGGGGTAGTAGATTTAAAGTTTAGGGCTATCACTATGGGCAGCAACGCTGTAAATATTGACAAATGAATCCAGGAAAATGGCACAAAAGAAAACTGGTAGTGGCCTGGCTGGGTGTATAATTCCCGGCCTGACTTATTGTCCCAGTCCGGCCCTGTATACAGGTGTATATCTCATTGAGACACAAGGTCTCATTTTCAAGAGAGACCTGTTCAGTGGTAACGCTACCACACAAAGTTACAGACAGACAGGACACTAAACACAAAGAAACCCTAAAATACTACACCGTAAAAAAAGTAGTCATTAAAATCCATATAGCCTACAGTCAGATATAGCAGGTGCAAATACCCACAGATGATTTCTCCAGCTTTTTTAAAATAAGTTTAAAATCCGTGATGGGTATCAAACTGGTCAGCTTAAGTTCCTGCTGAAGTGTGTTCCAGGTCGAGGGGGCAGAGTATGATATGGCTTTTTTCCCAAGCACCGTGCGTAGGCCTACTGAGGGGACGGACAGAGTGATGTAATTTTGAGATCGTAGTATAGCTGTACTGTTTGTGTGATATGTAAGTGGATATGTAGAGGGGCAGCAGTCCAAGCATAGCGGTATATGAGTTTGTACCAGTGCAGTGATCTGCGCATTGATAGTGATGTCCAGTTGACTAAAGCTGCAATGGTGTGTGAGGGGTTTACAGTTGGTTATGAACTTCAGAGCCCCATGGTAAACAGCGTCCAGCAGATGAAGGGAGTGAGCTGAGGCGTTCATGTACCAACCCAGTCTCACGGCATTTCGTGTTATAGTCACGAAATTAATTAAATCTATTCATTCGTGTTCACCAACACGATTTTCGCATTTTTTTCGTGTCACACAGAACGATTTTAAAAGCAATGTATTTCTATGTTTAGTGCCTGCACCACGTCTTTTTGTCCGGTCGGGTCTTGGAATACCAGAAGCTGTGTGGTTCATAAAAACATTTTCTTACTCAATATCTTACCCTAAGCCTAACCCTTTTATTTTAAATTCTATAATGTCGGAGTTTTTTTGTCCGCAAGGAAAATAAATGGGGCTCAGAGCCTCAGAATACTGAAATCTGTATTTTTTGTCATCTTTTTTTCCTTCTAATTTGTTATTATTTGGTGCAGGCACGAAACATACTACAATAGAAATACATTGCTTCTAAAATCGTTCTGTCGGAATACTGAAATCTATATATTTTTTTATCTGTTTTTCCTTATTTGTTATTATTACATCGCTTTTATAATCGTCCTGTGTGACACGAAAAAAATGGCGAAATCGTGTTGGTTAACACAAATCAATAGATTAATTTTGTGACTATAACACGAAATGCCGTGAGACTGTGTTGCAACCACACAACATCCCCGTAGTCCAAGAGCGGCAAAAATGTGGCAGCTACAAGCCGTTTCCTCGCACTTGTGGAGCAACCCTGTCTCCTAAAAATTACGTTCCCACAGAACTAAACTAAATTCTCACTTAAAATTCTGGTGACTTTATTTACGGCTAAAAAGCCCAAGATTATAGAATTAAACAAATAAATAAAAACAAGGATAATTGTGTGTTATTGTTGAGTAAATAACAGTGTGTTATTTAGAAAAGAATAACAAATTAGAAGGAAAAGATTTTAAAAAATACAGATTTCAGTATTTTGAGGCTCTAAACCCCATTTATTTTCCTCACAGACGTTTATACGATTTAAAATAAAAACAAATAAATAAAAAGATAAAACACTGGCATGTAATTTACGTTAGAATACATAGAATGGTTTTGAATAATAGATGATAGTAAAATCTACGTCACTTTACAGCCCCGCCCACTTTTGGGGAAACCAACGCTGTCATTTGAACGGCGATCAAGCCTGAAGCCACAGAGCTCTTCTTTTACTGTCTTTTCTTCTTAGAGGAAGTACAGAAACACGTAACTGTGGATTTGTTTTAATGTTTGAGATAAACGACACAGCAGCTTTTTGTCATGTTAAAACTATTATTTTCTGCCTCGCTCATGAGAGTAACAGCTGGCGAAATTACAGCCTCGCCTACTGATTTTAATTTAACCATATATCGAGCCTGATTCTCGATTTCAAAGGTGTGCTCTAAAATGATATTTATAAATGACTATTATCATTATTATAAGCAAGACAATAAATGGCAAAGATATGTAGAAAATACACGTATTTAAGATACGTTCATAAGGAACGTAACGTGGGAGAAAATATGTTTCTAGAAGATATGTAGAAAATAAACGTATTTTAGATACGTTCATAACGAACGTAACGTGGGAGTAAATACGTTTCAAGCTAAACGTAATTCAGAATGCAGTTTAGTTATGTGGGAACGTAATTTTTAGGAGACAGGGTTGTGTGGAGAAGCAGGCCTTATTTCTAAAAAAGAATCCCAGTTTCAATTTCAATTTCCTTAAGAGATTGTCAATATGTGGTTTGAAGCAGAGATTTTCATCTATAGTGATGCCTAAGTATCTGTAGGTGTTAACAGCTTCAATGGGGTTATGCTGTGCAGACATGATGCAGGGAAAACAGTTGGTAACTTTTTCTTATTGGAAAACAACATGACTTTTGTCTTATCTGAATTTAACACCAACCTAAGGTGGAACAGATGTGACTGAAAAGTGTCAAAAGCAGACTGCAGACGTTCAAATGCAAGGGCAACAGTGCTAGCACAACAGTACACAACAGTATCATCTGCATATACTGTAGATGTACAGAGGCATCATATACTTACTTCATATACTTTGACCCACATCATTTATATAAATAGTAAAAAAGGTCGGTCCCAAGACCGAACCTTGAGGAACGCCTCTGGGCACATTAAGAAAGCTTGAGGAGAGACCGCTGAATTGTACACATTGCTTGCGATTTGAAAGATGGTTTGCAAACCAACCAACAGCTTGGTCAGACAGGCCTATATGGGATAACTTCTGGCATAGAATGCCATGGGACAGAATTCACCTTCTTTCACCATTTATCATCATTTCCTCTTGAAACTATAACAGCAGAACAATCCATATTTCAATCTGAAATTGAATTGTAGTTTAGCTCTATGTACAACTAGTCAGTCAGTCAAGTCAGCAGAATGATGAAAAGACACCACAAGTCCACCGGATACCAGATTTAAACAGATGGTAAACATACTCGGATCCTGTTCTTGAGTAAAAGTAGAAGAAGATAAATGAACATCCGTCTGAGGAAATGTGAGTCGTCTTATCTGCTAAATGCTTTAGTTCCTGTTGTTGAGCAAAGGGGACTTTAGTGAAGAGGGATCAAGCTTGTTTGAAGACTAAAGCTTGCGAACAAACTTTTGTACAACATTTTAAGAATATTTTGGGAGCCATTAAGCTTCCTGAGTAGGTGAAAACTTTTAAACAAAGACTGGTTATATATTAATTAAAGTGGCAGTGTACATAAGAACATACATTTTTAAAACAGCTAACCTTTAAAGTCTTTCATGTTTCAGTTATAAGCTTACATCAACGTGTAAAGCCTCATTTGGAAAGGGGTTGTGTTTGAGAATTTTGCTTCACTAACTTTACACAGTGCACATTTTTTTCTCATGCATATGCATATATATATATTACACATCAAATATGTAGTATCTTTGAGGCCCACACACAGGTGTTTCCACTTGTTGTCTCATTTGACCCTTTCTCAGGCCTGTGTGGCTTGATTGACATCTCCCTCAGCCTTCTGTTGATCGTGCTGTACCTGCGAGCGCGGGACAACTTACCGTGTTAATGCTGTCATTGGTGTTTGGAGTTCTGAGACTTTACAGGACTTCCAGCATTTCTCTAATCAACTTCCAGCTGAGGTCTAATCAGCCAAACTGAAAACACCTGCAGAGCCTTTAATTGGCAAAGTAACTGGTGACTGTCAGATACATGTAGTGGAGTCAAAAGTACAATATTGTTCTCTGACATGTAGTGGAATAGAGGTGTAATGTCAAGTATTAGAGTACCTCAAATACTTCAGTTAATGGACTTGTTGCTTTTCACTGCTGTGCTTTTGACCTCTTATTACAAAGCAAGCAAGCTTTCAATTGTTCAATGAACGAGTTGTCTTGTTTTATTTGAATCATTTTAGAGGCATGACAGGGTAAATATATGCAGTGTTCAACAAGGATAAACCTTTAAAGGAATTGTTTTTTGCTTTTTTATTATTATTATTATTATTATTATTTCATACTACAATATTTATCTTGTGACAACCAGGAGTTGTTGTCCTACACATTGGATTATACACGTATTAAACTTGAATCTAATATTTTAGATATGAGATATTCTATGCTAGTTTATAATAACTTTGTCACATGTGTTGAACAGATTACTTTTCAAAAGAACATTTGACATACAAAATGTGAATGATCAGTATGTAATAAATGATGCATTGTTATAGAATCCCAAAATATATGATGTAATAAAAATATGTGTCAATGCAACCAACCACAATATGAATGTAACACTGATGTGAATGCAGCACAGCTAATATAATAGTGAAAGGAACCATTCTGTATACTTGTTGTGCTTTTATTCAAGTCCAATTCAGAATTGTGGGCTTTTGGTTGTAATGGAGTACTCTTAATGTGTGGTATTCAAAATATCTTCCATCGCTGGTTTAAGTCATTTGATTGTTTTATTGTCTTTTCTTGTATCCTAATTAATTGTATTTATATTTGTGCAAAATGTTAATTAATTAGAAAATAAGAAGGTTTCTACAGGACACTGCTGTCACCTGGTGGTCAAAAAACGGAAGGAGAAATGCTGCTTACTCCCTATTGGCTGCTGAAACATGACGCAACGTGTGCACACAAGGAAGTGAAACAACAAACGTTATTGAAGCTACCTTAGCAGAGGGTTAACATCACAGGTACGTTTCGTTTCACTTATCTGATCGTCTTCTTCAACACGTACTGGCTCTGATACATTTGTCTGTGCACAACAGTTTACTGAACTGTGTCGACGAAGTGTATACCCTTGTTTTATAGACACATACAGATATGGGGGACCTTCCTGTCAATCCGCTGGTTCTGATTGGTGTGGGCTCCAGCTTCGCCTTCTCTGGCCTTTTCTATCATCTGTACAAAGGGAAGAAAGAAGAGTTGAAGAAGCTAAAGGCAAGTGCATAATTACTGAAGTCATGCTTAAGTATTCATACAGCTCTCGAGTAGTGTAATGATTTTAAAATGCTTATTTCAACCTGTTTCTTTTTGCTTTTCATTTTAGGAAATACCCATATTCAAGCCAGATCAGCATTTGGTGAAAGTACTGAAAGCGTCTCCTCACAGGCGGCTTCAGTATGTTGCTGTAGAAGGTACAAACACTATCGACACTTTAGTGAATGCAGTTTTGAATGGGTTAAGACCAGTGGTGATAAAGTAACTAAGTACATTTACTCAAGTACTGTACTTATTTTTGAAAGATATGTTCTTGACTTAAGTATTTACATGTTTTTGCTACGTTGTACTTCTACTCCTCTATTTATTTGATCCGTTAAGTTACTTTGCAGATTTAGATTAATAATGTGAAATATAATCAACTCTTAAATCAGACTTTAGTTCCACCTGGAGTAAATTCACAAGCTACCCTGCAGTATACAAAGCCATTCAAACTAGCTGCACCTTACCAGCTTTGAGAACACTCTAATATATGAAAAACACATCATATATATTATTCTTAAATGGACCAATCTGCATAATGAGTAGTACTTTCACTTTTGGTACTTCAAGTATATTTTGACATTAATACTTCGGTACTTTTACATTACATGTTAGACGCTTTTATCGAAAGCGACTTACATACTGAATACTGTGGGCAATCCCCACAGGAGCGCTTTGGGGTGAAGTGTCTTGCCCAGAGACACAACAACATGATGACTGCAGTGGGGTTTGAACCTGTGCTCCCCTGATCCGAACAACAACGCACTAATCCATTGCGCCACACGCCTGTTACTTGAGTAACATTTTGAATGCAGGACTTTTAGTTGTAACAGAGTATTCCTACACTCTGGTTTATTCTACTTTTACGTAAGTACAAGATAGTACTTCTCCCACACAGATGTTTTACAGTTTTCCTTTATATGTGTTTTTAGGTCTGGTGCAGGCGGATGGGGAGTCTCTGGCAAGTCAGTTTGTCCCTCGTTGTTACGGTGTGATTCAGAAGATCGCAGTGGAGGAGCAGTGGAAATTCTGGAACTCCCTCACCAAGACATGGTACAATAGACAACAAAACAAACCCAAAACTGTCCCTCTATCTATTACTAGTCTGTTGATAACATTTTGATTACTTTTGCCAGGAATTCGCGGACAATAAACAGAAAAGAAACCAACAACTCTGTGCCGTTCAGTCTGGTCAGCCCTGGGGCCTTCATCGATGACTTGTATGTGAAGGTTCAGAACCCTCTGGAGGCCTCCGGGTGCTACCTGGACAGGGTGTACTTCAAAAGGAGTCGGGCCGAGAAGGGCTTGGCAGACATGGTGATGAATGGCATCCTCGGGGAGGAGCCAGTGGCCATGGAGGTCAGCGAGGAGCTGCTGCGGGTGGGGAGCACCCTGACTGGGTATGGGGAGGTGGTGCTGGAGGGAGGGCAGGTGATGAGGCTGCAGGCCCCGCAGGACGGCCGCAAGTTCATCCTGGTGCCCACCGACCACCGGAGCTTCATGGACGGGCACGAGAAGTCCGCCAGTATGTGGAAGATGCTGTCGGCTGTTACTGGCATCACAGGGGCCGCTATTCTAACCAAGGTCATCTGTGGGTTAGTGGGGAACCAGGATGGAAAATCCAAGAAGGCCTGAAGACGATACTGTAGCTTTAACGGCTGTGTGACCGCTTTACAGCTCTCCAAAAACTGCCTCAGGTGTTTTGTTTAGATTCCACTGCAACTTCCTGATGCTAAGATAATGTACAGTCACTTGTCAAAACTTCCTCAAGTGTTTTATCTAGATTCCTTAGATCCATCATGATGCTAAGATTATTAGTCAGTGTGTCATCTTGTAAGTTTTGTTTTCCCATTAAAGTAGCAGCTACAGGGGCCTGTGAGGGTCAATACACAACATTGGACAGATTTTGGCCACTTTGATGTCAACGATTTCTTGGCTTGTATAACCATTGGTATTTGGAGCAAAACATTTCAGAGACATGTTCTCTATATATCTGAGACCTATAATATGTTGATAAACAGTATAATAGGGGACCTTTAAAGAAGGGATAGGTGATAGGACTATTTTTATGTATAGCGTAAAAACTTTATCAAAAATATTTTTCTATATCGTTTCAATCCCAATGTTGAAATCAGCAGACTAACTTTATTACGGCAAAAGTTTGGACGACGCTTAACATTCTAATCGTGGCTCGAGATGCGCGGTTTGGCGAACATGTAGAGGACACAACTTAGCTCTTACTTCTGCTTGGTTACACAAGTTTGATGCACACCAAAACCCTTATCTAAAATGTTGACTCAGGAATATTCTGAGTGCAGGCTATTTGTTGTCAATAACTGTAATGTGAGTTTTTCCTTTCTACATCTTACAACACACAGAGATACATTTCCAATGTTTTATCAGTGTCATCTTGTAAGTTTTGTTTTCCCATTAAAGTAGCAGCTACAGGGGCCTGTGAGGATCAATACACAACATTGGACAAAACAGAAAGCACAGGAATTTATAAAACATTTACAAATTGAGAAATAAAAATAAAGCTGAACAGAATCTTAGATGTTGATACATTTCCCACATTGTGATTATAATGTGCTCAATGTATTTGTTAATGTGTTTTGATCCAATGTTGTTCTGCTGTGACGGGCACTACTTTTCTTGAAACCATCATGAACATATCTGATTTCTCCTGCAGTCACTAGGACATTTTTGAATATCTGAAAACTGATGACACACCTTAAATGTGGCATATTTGAGTATTGTTAAACTATTGAATCAAGGGAACATTTTTGTAATTCAATTGTATTTTTATAATGTAAGATAAAAATCTTTTTTTTGTGGAGTTGTGTGGGGTAATCAATCTTTTACTTTCACTTTTGATTTGCAAGAGTCTAACTGAGCCTGATTAAAATTGAATGTAAACAATGTTTTGGACTGGATCTATTTGCAGATATAATGTTCTACCTCTTACATAAGACCTGCAGTCTGTTTGTGGAAACAAAGATAACACATGATAAAGGGATGTGGTGATATCTTTAATAAAACCTTTATATTGAGTGAGACATTTTGTGTTCTTTTCCAAGCAGTCATGGGTCTCTCTCTTCTTTAATTGGATATTGACGTTCACAGCACACCGCCCGTACCTAGCGTGATAATATGTGTCCGTGTAAACTGTACAGAGAAGATCCTGCTGGATGTTAGTGACAGAAAGCTGCTGTTGCCGGGGGTAACACCAGCTGCCTGAATCCCTCTTTCTTCAAGTTTACAGTCATCTTTGTGCTCCTCATTATTCCCCTTCCTCCTCTGAAGACTCCTCTGCCTCCTTCAACCACTGGATGAATTTCTGAAGCTGGGGGGGGGGGAAACATACATCAGAATAGAGTGACACAAGGCCCTTAGGCAAGTTGAACAATTAGAATGAATTTCAGAAAAAGTCCAGAAAGGATATGGAAAACAAATACACAAAGGAAGATATTAAAGTAATTTGTGAAACCTATAAATTGCACAAATGTATTTATTACTCGTAGATAATGAGGGTTTCATTATTTGAATTTTTTTATTTTACATCATTGACGTTGAAGTTTTAAATTAGGGGGAAGATGGTAGACCCAGAAAATACTACACACTGAACAGGTTAAAAGAGTGAACAAACTCCACTTTGTAAAACAAAATTCAGTTTACACAATTACTCCCTTTAGTATTTAGATATTGCATAATGGTTTGGTCTTCCATAAATAGTTTTAGAGGATAGTTTGTGTACAAGTCAATGTGGTTAAAAGGCAAATCTGATTTGTTTCCCCTCTACATTGCTTGAAATTCATTTTGAAAATGCATTTTATTCCTCTCGTAAATAATTTGACATAAAGACATGTAAAAGGTGCATCATAAATGTACAGGCCTTGCTATAAACATTTAAAAGGAAAGAAAGAATAATATCTGTGCTTATTGAACTCACTTTTACAAACACTACTTACACTTAAATGTACTCAATGCTATCACATAATCAATGATGTTGTGCTGGAAACATATTAGTGATTTCTACAGTGACAGTTAGTTACAGTGCTGATTACCCAGCCATCCTAACTTTAACCCTCATTATATCTTTATATTATAATAATCATTTATAAGTGTGCTGTTCCTACCCCCTGGTTCTTGCGCAGCTGCTTGCTCTGGTCGGTGATGTCTCCCTGGGAGAACCAGCGCATTATCATGTCCTCCTCCAGGATCTCCAGCTGGTACATGTTCATCAGGACCTGGGGGGGGGGGGGGGGGGTAACACAGCATCTTCAGCACCAGGTACAGTACGGGTAGGTAAACGTCAATATTACATGGTGGCTGTTTCATGACTCATATCTTTCCGTTTGACCCGAGTTCACCCTTTTGACTGTGTGCATTTTTACACAACCCTTTTCCCAGACTTTCCAAAGCCTCAAAGCATTTTGCATACACATGTCAGCTTTCACCCAGTCACACACACTCCTACAGAGGCAGAGGCTGTCACACAAGGTGCCACCTGCTCAGGGAAACTAGCACTCTCACACCAAGCCACCTGGAGCTATTTGGCGTTAAGTATCTTGCCCAAGGACACATCGACATGTTGAATACAGCGGCAGTAGATCCAACCAACCACCTTTGCCATTAAAGGATGAACAACTCCCTCCTGAGCCCCAGCGGCCCAGCAGAAGAGATTTACGAGTGTTTATGGAAGTGATGACTGACTGACCTTGAACATCGCAGCCCAGTGACTCTCCTGCTCCAGGAAGTGCTCCTCGAAAGCAGACAGACAGTCCAGGTGGTCCTGGGCTCTCTTCACATAGTTCTTAAACACCGGTGCCCATTTATTCAGCAACTGAGAAGCAGAAGTGCAAGAATTAGTCAGATCCTTAACTTGGTAAAAGTAGAAATATTATGGTCTTAAAAAACACTCGTACAAGAAAAAATCCGTACGTGGAAAGTACAGAATATTAAATAATCATGAATATTATATTATTTTCATCACTAACAAATACATATGTTGTAGTTTTCAATGAAGAGCCATTTGATATACTTGGTTGTGGTTATATATTAAAGGTCCCATGACATGCTTGTTTGTTTGTAGCCTTTATTTAACCAGGTGAAAGACCCTTGAGATCAAAAGATCTCTTTTTCAAGGGTGTCATGCTTTTCCGGTTCTTACCCGTCCCCTTGTGTGTTATGAAGGTTTTTCTGCATGTAAACGGACTGCAGAGTCACAAACCCTCAAAGTACACCCTGTAGGGAGTACAACTTTAACACAGAAAAGCCCTGTCTATGCTGCCCCTGGTGCGGGTGCAAGTGGAGCCTCGCAGATGGGGGTGCTGCAGCCCCCTTAGCACAGTGGGCTCACAGGGAGGGGGGGGGGGGCAGGTCAGGAGCTCCAACAAGCCATGTAGGACAGAGAGTGAATACACATGCTATACAGAGATGCTGTATGAGAAACCAATGTGATTTTGGAACATTGCACAATGTAAATCTATTCTAGTAGACCTCAACAATGGAACTATGATCAGTAGAAATGGCCATGACATGGGACCTTTCAGAACATCAGTCTATTATATCATAAAAGCAAACCACGTGTTTTATATGTAAAAATAATCTATGAGTGTTAAATAAATACAATGGAGTAAAAATGACTATATTTGTGTTCCTACAATATGGTAGAGTAGAAATATAAAAGGAGCATAAAATGGAAATAGTCAAGTAAAGTACAAATGTGTCAAATTCGTACTTGGGGTAAATGTGTGTTGTTAGTTTCAATCATTGCTATGGACACACGAAAAAGGCCAAATTCTACATTTGATTCTATCATCTTTACCGGGAGGAGCAGAGCCACGTATTGCGATGCGGTGATCTCTGGGCCCTGCTGCTGGAAGGGATACTCCAGCACCACCCTGGTTATAATCTGCATCACCTCCTTCAGAGTGATGTTGTAGGCGTACCTGGAGGGAGAGAGCGTGTCAAAACTGAATCTGTCTAAAGAGAGAAGACTGCTGGCAGTGTTTGGTCCCTTCTTACTTGAGAGAGTTGATCTCAAGGACGAGATTGTCACAGCCGATGTTTTCCTCCAGACCCCTCTGCAGAGTCCCCAGCACCTCCAACTGGAACACTACACACAATCACACCAGAGAAGAAGAGTTCGAGAAAAACTACGCTTCATTGCAAAATCACAACAGGGAGGCTAAAGACCACAAACATTTCATAAATAAAATAAAAAGGGAAATTAAATCATCTAAGTGTTCAGAGATCATTCTGATGAATTTATAACCAGCGTTCGACCCCATTTTGAGAATTAGTTATGAGGTTATATACTATAATTTGTTAGTAATAATAATCAGCCACTGCTCAAAGCCGACATCAAAGGCAACCAAGATCAGCTCCTAATTCTCACATTTTGTTAACTAGCATAATATAATAAAATATAGTTCATCTGTGAAATTAATTGCAGCCCTAGGTGATTAATACATTCCGTTCTGTTATGTAATGAATTCGTAAAACACTGCTAAACTATTGAACTACGTAGTATTCTCAATTAAATTGCTATTTATAACGTGTAGTGTCATCTAGGGGCTGTCGTCGCTGGCATTTTGTCTCTTTGGCCAGCAGGGGGCAGTCACGTGGTTCTACAGGTGGCTAAAATGAACAACTCTCACCTTTGACATCGTCCATCTCGGGGGAGGGGATCACAGGGTCGTCATCATCATCAGGCTCGCTGTCCTCACTGTCGCTCTCAGGGTCGGGGTTCAACACCAGACCTGATGCACAGGAAACAAAAGCCAGGCTGCTGGGACACAGACGGAAAGACAGATTTACTGACTGAACAAGTGAGCCGCGCTGCTGTCCTACCCCAGAGACACTGAGACAGCTCCTCATCCTCCGTGTCATCCAGACTGCCGGCCTTCCAGATGTAGCCTTTCCCCTCTGCTCCGACCTCGGCTGGGTTAAACGCTGCAGGACAGAAGAAAACACAGCTTATGACCATATTTTATTATTTATTTGTAGCCTTTATTTTGTGTATAGGAATGGGGGGAGATGTCCAGCCACCAATGTCAACGTTGAAGTTATGTGGCATTTACTGTAGCAATCATTAAGATTATTCATATTTCATACAGAGTCAATACACACCCTTCAGTTTGGTCTTGTCTTTGCTGTGTCCGACATGGTCATCATCACTCAGGAACTCATCATCATCCTCCTCTTCCTCCTCGTCTGGATGGTGCATGGACAGCACGGTGCCTTCAGGTAGAGAGATGTTTGGTCCAATCTCCACCTGGATCACAGTCCACAGAAAATGTAGTGATGTGATAGAGAAGGTTTTCACCGTTTCACCATCTCTAAAGCGCTATTCTGATCTTGACACATAAAAGTGGTGGGAAAAAAACCTCCCTCTCCATCGGAGCAAAACGTGTTATTGTACAAACAAAATGAAAGATTGTATTTTTGTTAGACCAAAAAAGTGAATTTTGGAAATAATAATATTCAGCTTATTGCTAATTAAAATGAAGAAAAATAATGATAATACTTGCTTACATTATACGCCAGGACACACTGTTTGTTCAGAGTTACGCCTTCTTTGACCACAGCCTTGTCGCAGATCACAGACTGAATGATCTTCACCTTGCTGGCTATGTGAACATTATTCCAGATGTAGGCATGGTCCAGGGTAACATTGTCACCTGTTGATATGGAGAACAAAAAGGCATTATTAACACTTCTTTTATTACGTACTTATATATGACCTCACTGAATCAGTTTTGAGAGCCCACCTATGGTGCAGTTGTTCCCAATGACGCTGTTAGAAATGTAACAGTTGGCGCCGATGCTTGTCTCACAGCCGATGAGGACGTTCTCCTCCATCATGCTGCCGTGGCCCAGGCTGACCCCAGACCCTCTGTAGACGTTGTGGCGGGAAAACGTGCAGCTTCGTCCCTGCTGGTCGACGAAGTTAGCCTCGGGGGTGAGCGGGTAGACCCACCGCCGCACGAGGTCAGACGACACAGAGTCGTACATGAGGAGGTTGGATACTCTGACCCCGTAACCATCCTTGGTGGCATGCATGTGTATCTGGTTGCCCAGAATCTAAAACAGGAATTAAGGATTAATGCTTTGAAGGGGTTTGTAGCAAAACATGATCCAGATATCATAGGGAATAATGCCGTACCTCTTCATTGACCAACATCCCTCTGACAAAGTCATTTCTAGTCTGGTAGTCGAAATTGTCAGTGAAGAGCTCAGCGACCTGAAAATGAGGAAAAACTATTTATAGAAGGAGAATCAAGTTTATAGCCAGGTACGTTTACACCTGAACCACTAATGAGAAGTTCAATAGCTCCTGGATGTTGCATTCTAACCTGTGGGGAGCAGATGCTGATGTGACAGTCCAGGAGGTCGTGTCTGATTTCAAACTCGTCACTTGCATTGTGGAAAATGTTCTGCCAAACAAACAGAGAGTGACTGTCAACAATCAATCCAAAGCAAAAGTAAGGTAAAGGTTTGATAAAATGGTGAAGCTCCTACCATGGGGAACTGTAGCCTCTTCAGCCCCTGTGTCCTCTGGTAGTGTAAAATCCGCTGGCTCTTGCTGTCCACGGCAACTATGACATCATCTTCCTCACAGCGCGACTTGTGACCGGGCGACGATTCCTTAAAGACCATCGTCATCACCGAGATGTTCTTCTCCACCTTCCGACGATGCCTGTGCAAAATGACACATAGTATTAGAATAAAACAGACGTAGAGAGACCATATTTCATTGCTTCTGATTATACTAATAAAGCCATCTCTTACCTGTGCTCTTGCACTGCCTGACTGAGGTCAATATTTGATACCACGTCTCCGTAGACCAACACGAAGTCCGAGCGCAGAAGGGACTTTGCATCAACATCCCTGAGCACATCCCCGAGGGAGCGGTAAAACTCTGAGGTGATGATGTGGACTGTGTTTGGAGAGGTGGGTCGACACCACTTCGACTTCCTGTCAGACCACAGAAACAGGTCAACATCTTACATTTGAGACATATCCAAAAATTATCACCCTAGTGAAACTTACATTAAGTGTTCCTTGATTTCACAGGCCATCCAGCAACAGAAGACAAATGTTTCCTGCACCCCGGTGGACGTGAGGAACTCCAGGGTGTAGTCGATCATGGCAACATTACCCAGCGGCAGCAGAGCCTGTCATCAATGAAAACGTGACAGATGTCATTACAGAGGTAACTGTACAGCAGCGTCATGATGGAAGTCCCCAAGCAATATTAAACAAAACCCACAGAGCTGCTTAAATAAAGGCTTGAAGGTAACGTGTTTATTTCTGTTAAAATAGTTTTCTTCATCAGTTTCAATGCCGCCCTGTCACTGTTTACAGCATGGACTCTAGTTAGCTACCATTAGCATGTTATAGCTTAGCTCGCTGCCTACCCTTGGCTGGTCTTTGGTCACCGGGAAAAACCTCCGGTTGAAGCTGTCAGCGACTAAAACAGCCTGCAGCGGCTGCTCCTCTTCCTCCTGCTCATTTGCACCTTTTCTACTCGAAAGGCCAGTGCCAGAACGACTCTGTTTTGCTCCTCTACCGGCCATGTTTGTCTCCCAAGCGCTGCCTACTAACCAGCTATGTCGTCAGCTATGGTGGCTGTGGAGGGACAGTCTGTGATGGTGGCTGTGGTGAAATACAGTACTCGTGCGTTTGTTTACCTCGTTTGATTTTATGGAAATAATACAAAGTTGTGAATGTAGACAATGACATTTATGTATTTATTCATAAATACAGCTCAACATTTGAGCCTTACTCACATGCCTCACAAACTCAAAAATGTATGTTAACATTATATATTGTATGTTAGCTGATTTATTTTCTAAACATTTACGTTTCTTAACTTTTAAAGCCTTCCTCGTATTGCCTCGTACCAGGGGCGGATCTACGGGGGGGGCAAGGGGGGGCAGCTGCCCCCCCTTGCCCCCCCCCCCCCCACGGTAGAGCCTTTCCCCCCCAGCTGCCCCCCTAACTTTTGTTTCCCTAAAACTGTACTAAAACAAACCTACACTATTTCCACAAGCTTCTCAAGCAACAAAACAAGCATTACATTAGTTAAAAGTTAATCATTTTAAATATCATTTTAGGCCCCTTAAAAACGCAGCTACGGCCCTGCATTAAACTGCGGAGCGGCGTTCACACAGACCGCGGCTCACACCGCTGCAGAGAGGGAGCGAGCTGTCCCAGCACCTATGGATCAGCTTCCCCTGGGAGCATTTCCCTTTCCACTAGTTTTGTTTTTACTAAGGACGAGAGCTTGAAACTAAATATTAATAAAACGCTGCTGTTTGAATCGATAGCGTTTAACAGACGGGCGCTGTTTGGGGCGTTACGTTACAAAATACTACGCAGACAGCGTTAGCTGGGAGATCGATCACTTTGCTAAACTACGCGGTAGCCTACTATTACATCCACGTAAACTACACATCACAGCCATGAGGCCAGATCAATGAAACCAGGATACATCCTTTACTGTAAAAACTGGATCCAAACACAGCTGCCTGTGTGCGCTTGATCAATACTTTCTGATGTTATATGATATGCTACATATTAGCTAGGCTACATGGCCCTAACGTGTAAAGTTATACAAGCATTTGTACCAGTGCTTTTCACAAGTAGACTCTTGCAGGCTAGAGTATAGGAGTGATTCAACAACAACACAAAGACATATGAGAAGTGATCAGGACGAACAGAAAGAGGAAAAGGAAAAGAGAGTTCACTGAAGAGACCAGGAGGGTCAGAGCAGGAGGAAGAGGAGGAGATGAAGAATCCAGGAGGGTCAGAGCAGGAGGAGGAGATGAAGACATTAGTGAAGAAGAAGAAATGTATGTGAGGAATAAAGATGAAGTGTCAGAAAGAGGGACAGAGGCAGGGATCAGGAGGCAGATGAAACTCCAGCTGGACCACATGGTATGTTCTTATTCTCCTTACATATTCCATCACAGCAGCACAATCTAGCAGCTCTTAGTATTGACAAATATTGATTGAAATGTGTTGCTGCACAGGTCACCTTCAGCTCTCTGAAGAGATGGGTGATGTAATTTGTGTACTTAATTATAAATTGAAATGTTGAGCTTGTCAATCTTAATCTGAAAATACAAAAACTGAAATATAGGTAAGAGAAGAAACGGACACTTTTATGATGTAATTCCCTCAATGCAGATCACACATGGACTGATCCATTATTTTAATAGGAGGGTAAATGGTATGGCGTGACGGGGTTGAAACAAACTGAGGGACAATATTGCAATTTCATAGATAATTCAAGTATTTTTTCAGAATTTATTTTTGATCAGTTAAAGTTGACAAGCATATGATTATATTAGCAGCAACATTTTGGGATAATTGGCCATTTTGATTTGTTTGATATTAAATTAATATGTAATAATGCTTAGTGAGGACATGCAAATATGTCTGTCTAATACTAAGAAAACCAATTTTTTAAAAACTAAATATATATTTAGTTTGACATTGTAATGCAAAAAACCTGTTCCATTAATTCATTGCTTTAAAATACATTTTGTAGTTTCCTTTCATTTAAAATGGTTGAGGTACGCTTGGGGGACTCAAAGGGCACCCGATTGTTTGTCTGAACACCTTGTTTCTCTTGTGCATTAAGAACACTTGTGTTAGGGCATGCATTAACAATAAATAGGTTATATACAGTATACAATACCACGTACTGTCCGCCCTCCCATGCCACCCTGGCATGACCTCTTGCCCCCCCTTTGCCCCCCCATGTAAAATGTTCTAGAACCGCCACTGCCTCGTACGATAATATCTATTAATACTCTATTTAAATTGATCTGTTTTCCACTCAAATGTAACATTGCTGTAACATTTACATACATTAGACGCTTTCATTGACTAGACCCCCAAAAATTACAATTTCAATCCATTTATCTTTTAAACCAAAAATGTTTGATATTTGTCTTCACTAATCTTTGGCTGGTACGAATATTAACTCTAGGTTTTAAAGTAGTCAGCCAGAAAAACATGATATCTAATGGAAACATACTAACAAAACCCATTTCAAAAACTATTTTTGTATTGTCTTCTATTATAAGAATAGCAGTTGCAGCTTATTAAGAAACCTGGGAGTTTACTTAAATTCATCCATCCACAACTATCAAAACACAGGTTAAAAGACTGAAAACATGTTAGTGTTTTATTATTAGTTTATTATCTCCATATATATGGGCTTAACCATCACTTGTTGACACTGGATGCACTTCTTGAAATGTTTCATAACATAATTTCTCAGCTTCTGAACATCTGAACCAACATGTTGAACTTTACCAGAGACAAAACATCCGGCTCCTGCCGTCCAAAAGTTTAAACAAGAACCTTCATTCACTGCTCTGTGAAAGCTCAACAGTTCTTCATGTTGTTCTTAGCCACCTGCACATCACATTACACAGCCAGAAAAAGAGTAACTATTGGTGTTGTTTGGTTATCTTCTTGGCGTGCTCCAACACGGACTCAAAACGCAGAGTTCTAGATGTCCAGGAAGATGGAATTCCCTCGAATCCAATCTGTGAGAATGTAGAAAAGTGAGTGTGAGAAAAAGATGCTTCCCTATTTCATTTGAGCATGTTGCCATAGCTTACCGCCTTTGAATGTATCAAATGTGAGATTAGCAAACAGTCATACCTGAGCCCCAAGACAGGCTCCGATGAACGAGCCTCTGCTACTGGTGCATCCCCCGCAGCTCATGGTGTCTCTGACGGCCTGCTCGTAGTGCTCGGCTGTCAGGACTCCATGCAGCGCTGCTTGGAACGCACCTGGCAAACCTGAGGAAACATCAGCACCATGTGTTAATAACATACAGGCATTGTAACTGGTTGTCCCAATATTTGTCCAGAACTACTACTTTCATCTACTAAGTGTTTTAGCTTGTGTTTTATGTTATTCTTATTCATAGGGCTAATTGCATATAAACTTGTATTCTTATGTTAAAAGAGCTTTAAGAATACCTCATGTGTTTGGGAACACACTGGGGATCAGTTCCTTAGGAGTCTTGGATAGATTCTCCTTCACCTGATGGAGGTGACCTGGAACCAATCAGAAAGGAGAGTCATTCGATTAGATTCACTTAATGATCCCAGGTTGGGAAAATGTTTTGAAACAGCAGCATGTAACAAGGAATTGCACAGTTAAAAAAAATAACATCATTAAATATTAACAGAAGAAAGATATAAATATCTATAGTGTAAATGTATTGAATATATCATATTAAATATGCAGAATAAGTGATATTACACGATGAGAGACCATCGTACTAAAAAAATATAAACATAAGACACTATATACATTATACAAGGCTACAAATTAGTTGCATTGTTTAAGTTAAAGCAAATTATGATCATTGAAAGGGAAAAACAGGGATGTGTTTGGTCAAAATAAAGGAAACTATGAAGCTGAAAGTTGAGTTCTAGCCAGGGCTAGCAGAGAACTCATCTCATAGTTACTCAAATACAATCAACATTTAAACTGTTAAGCCACATAAAACTAACTTTTTTGCAAGTTACTTTATCTTTAGACGTCAAAGATCAAGTTAAAGTCATATCAAATTATTAAACATAGTATGTATTCAGGATATTAAACTTGTACAAAATGAGGAATCCCTTTAATCCTGTGATTCAGTCCCATGACTTTAGTCTAGTGAAGCAACAATGCTGCAGGCCTCACATACCAACGACTGCTTTGTCCAGATCCTGAGGCTGCTTTCTCTTCGGGTCGCTGAGCTGAGCCAGCACTGAGTCCAAGGCTTTGGGATCGGGACCATTCAGGATGAAATGCTCCAGGATCCTGGAGAAATAAATGAGGAAGTGTTAGAAACCAATTTATTGTTGAGCCTATTTTATAATATAACATTAGTTAGTCTTAGTTTTTTTTGGGTTTGAAACCATGTTACAAGTTATGCTGTGTAGCATCCACAGTGTTGTTACAATACCATTCATGATGAGATATAATAAAAAAACGGATAGAATTTCCAAGCGTTAATGCTAATCAAGTGTAACAGGAAAATTATATTTCATGTATGGAATTTAACTGTCAGCGGAGACTTTATTTGATTTGTTTCTGATTCAATTAATTCAAATTGTTTATATATTTTCATAATGTGTTTTACAGGTTATTTTTGCCTTTATTTTGATAGCATAGAAAGGTAAAAAGGCTAAATGAAGACAGTGTAACATCCCATATGTCAATAGATTTTAGGAATAGACACGACAAGTATATTCAAATACTATCAATAATCTCCTTTAAAAAAAAAAGGTGTTTATTCCACCATCACAGATTTGTTTTTTTTGTTTGCCTGACTTTCTATTAGATTGAGTAAGTCAAATTAAATGTAAAATGTCTTTGCACCTGTTGTGTCTTCCAATATAAAAAAAGTCAGATTTTCTTTGCAATTTATATTTGTTTCACATCCCTGTTTCAGAAATGACCAGTATTCTCATCAGTAACAGGAAGTGAAAATGATGCGTTGGCGGAACAAACTGACCTCGCAGCTGCCAGAGTCTCTGCCACACAATCATCATTGTTCTGGGTGACACGGACTGCCTGCTCCACCTTCTCCAGCATCTCAGGCTTTCCAGCATAAAAAGCCACTACAGGAGCCAGTTTGGCTATTCCATCAATCTGACAGTCGTTCTCACATCCTATGGAAAAAAAGACACTTAATTTAGAGCTGTTTCTCTCAATAATGTCTTGGTATTTGTAATGAAAATACTGCCTATTCACCCGTTTCTTCTTTGCCTGCATCCACATTTTTCAGGAAGCCCTTCAAACTCCCTTGTCTCCATGGTCCCTCGATGGGCAGCTGCGGTCTCGGGCCTGGTAGGACAAACACAACGTTATCAGTATTTCCATCTTACTGAGTAAAAGAGTTTAATGAATTTTCCGCAACAACATGAAATACTTCTCCGCTTCTACTAGATGATTTTCCTACCTGCTCTGTCTCTGTAAGGGTCGTTGACAGGCGTGTCGTACTCTGATCCTGGCCCAAAGAATTTTAGAGTACGCTGCTTCAGATCTTCAACATTTAGACCTGGTCGTAAAGGTTACACAGCTTAGACCATGATGTAAAAAGTTTGAAATGATCATGAGGCAGTCTATTGTGTCGTTAAGATGAAGAAGTAAGGCCTACCTCCACATTCAGACAAGGACTCCAGCAGGACAAAGGCCTGGTCCCCGTAGCAGCTCTGCTGGCCCGTCTGCCTCCTGTAGAACGGGTTGGCCGACTCAGAGCGGAACTCAGGGTTTGGCTCCTGATCCAGGATGCCCTGCAGCTTCTGCAGGTCGTACACCCAGTGGAGGGGCTGCGCTGTGAGGGAAGAGACTACAGGTCAATATCATTCTGATCCGAAACGCCTTTTTTATAAGAACAAAAAAGGTGCATAGTGAAAAGACTCAGATGATAGAGAAATAAACATCAGCAAACAACTTTGGGCTGAAAAAAGAAACCTAAAAGAGTATTCAAACTAGTGGTATGACAAGGAAACTAATTGTAAATTAAGACATTGTACTGAATACTTAACGGACAATAAAACATTACAGTATGATAGACTTTAACCGTTATTACCTGCTGCATCTGCAACGGCTGATCCTACGATGGCTCCTATCGCTCTGTTGGCCAGAGCTGATGCCATCTGTGAAACAATTCATCGTTATTATTCTAATTAAGGCTTCATTTTGTCTGTAAATTAAATCAACAGAAACATACTGGTGAACATTTTCCTTTTAAAATAATACTTAAGGTGACATATAAAGCATTTGTTATAGCTTCTGTAATGTGTTGCCTTAGCTACCTATATCTGGTTAATATAAACTGAATATCTTTGGGGTTATGGACTGAAAAATACATTTGCATATCTCACAATGAGCTCAAGGATATTGAGCCACTTTTAATTTTGTGAGACAGTATAAAAAGGCCTAAATATCATTGATTTTCCAAACAATAACCAATAGACTTGTCAAGAATTATATTTTGTGTTAGTTCCAGCCATAGACTGTATATGTAAATCCCTATTGGTAATGTTTACACGGTATGTCTCACATGGCAGTTCGAGTTAATCTGCAATCTACTAGTTTCCCTGAATGTGTATCTGTAAAGATTGGATGCTAAAGCTAGCGATAATTGTTTAATAGAGAGATATACATGGTGTTAAGTAAACTTAAGCATGACTTGAATGAAGCAGTGGCCTAGCCAGAGTTAGCAGAGATAGCAGTAACTTCATACACTGCAGACTGCAAGCTAACGTTAGCTAGTCTTCGGCCAAACTAGGCTGACATAGTGAAGTCTTACCTTTCAATCAGTTTAAAGTAACCTTACAGACTAATACTGATAGCCAGGGCACACTGCAGTGTGCGTGTGCGTGTGCTTCTTCTTCTTCTTCTTCTTCTGTGTTTATTGGCGGTTGGCAAATCAACTTGTAGGTGCATTACCGCCACCAACTGGACTGGAGTGTGGACAAGAGACTATGCAGAAAACGATAAACAAAACAAACAAAACAAAGAACCAAAACTCTAGATTATTTTTAAATGTATCAATTTCTCTTAGAAACGTAATAATCTGACAATATATATTGCCTGGTGTTTTCCCTAACAGCCCTGATAGCGACAAGTCATGGAATGTTGCTTTCTTCAGTGTGTGGAAAAGCACATTTCTCTGAGTAGGCTACTATATTTCCTGCAAAGCAGTAAAAAATGCTCAACAGTTTCTGGCTGGCTACAGTGTATACACTTTCCAGTTGGATGCTTTCCTATTATACTTAATGTATGATTGAGACCTGTATGACCTATTCTCATCTGAGAAATGACATTTTCCTCCCTTCTTTTAAACCCTACCTTCCTTCCATCCCCCACTACCTTTGCATTTTATAAAGATGTCTTCCTGTATCACTAAGATCCCAATGTTCTTGCCATGTTGTTTGTCCATATTTCTGAATGAATGTTTTAACCTCCGCTTTGCTGAGTGGAACTTCTATGCAGTGGCGGTTCTAGACCAATTTCACTGGGGGGCCAGTTATTTTCTGAGGGGGGCACAATAAATGCAGGACGAAAAAGAGAAATAGACAGTATGAAGTAAAGAAGAAAACAATGCAATACAGTTATTGGTATTTGTTTCAGTACACTTATTTATTTCAGATATATCTTATAGTTATTACTGTTAGCTTCAGCTTAAGTTATAGTGCAATGTTTGCACTAACACCATATTTATATAAAAATAAAGGCAATTAACAGTTACATCTCTACTTTACATAAGGGTGTCTGCACAATCTCACATTACAGCAACACAATCCTGCGGTTTTTGGCAAACCGAGTACCAGAAAATATACATTAAAAAAAAAAAAAAAAAACGTTTCATTGTTAGGGGGGCCACAGGGGGGTCAGAGGTCAGTGTTAGGGGGGCACTGGCCCCCAGACCCGGCGGCAGACGTACGTCTCTGGGCGGGCATTTGATTTACCAGGGCGGGCCCAAGCCCCCAGGAAGTGCGCCGGACTCAGATGAAAATATTCGTGCTGGCCAAACGGCGGTACTACACTTCCGTTTGGTTGCCAGGCCCGGAAACACTTTTTCCCATTGATTTACATGGGGAAAGAGTGGTCTGTAAATCGTTGGATAATTTTTTTTAAACTAAATAAACTACCCAGTATGAACACTTGTATAGCCCAAAAACATTCGTTCCTCAAGTTGTAATAATGTGCTAATAACGTTATTCTGAGAGTTATTTCCCTCTGCATTATGAACGTGCATCTAATGGCGCCTTTCCACTGCAGCGGGGTAGCCCCGTTTAAGCGTCCCTAAGCGTCCTCGCTCTGGCCTCGGGCTGCCTCGCTGGCCGTCCGAGGCCGTGGCGCATTTCCATTACAGTTTAGGACCTGGGGTAGCAACGCAGTGTAGGCGGGGCGATCGGCTTTGTTTTTGTTCACATTTCGAGTTGTTCCGTCGAGCTCCCGCTGGCTGGATTTGATCATCCCCAATGAGATGTAGGAACGTCGTCACCTCCTCGGTCGACCACGGTGTGCTTTTCTTATTAGACGTAGCCATTTTTGTAGCTCATCCGTTTACAAAATGCTGTTTATAAAAATGCTGCAAGCTTGCTTCTAAATATATATGCGACGCTAGGGATGAACTCGCGCGCGATCTTGTGACGATTCTCTCTGACCAATCAGCAGTCGAGAGTGTTGACGTCACTAGTTCAGCTCTGGCCCTGGTCTGATAGAACCACGATTTTATGGGGCCGGAAAAAGAGGGAAAAAGTACCCGCTAGCCGGTACTAGGCTATATGGAAACGCCACCAAAAACCGGCCTGGCCGCTTGAGGACGGTTAAGGACGCTTAAACGGGGCTACCCGCTGCAGTGGAAACGCGCCATAACCCACGGGACCGCGCCGCCCGGCACGTTCATGTTACGTGTCCCGACAAATCAGAGCACACTGTGATCACAGGGAGGGTGGGGGCTGGAGCCCCCAGGAAGTGCGCCGGACTCAGATGAAAATATTCGTGCTGGCCAAACGGCGGTACTACACTTCCGTTTGGTTTCCAGGCCCGGAAACACTTTTTCCCATTGACTTACATGGGGAAAGAGTGGTCTGTAACTCGTTGGATAATTTTTTTTAAACTAAATAAACTACCCAGTATGAACACTTGTATAGCCCTTATTAAAAACATTCGTTCCTCAAGTTGTAAAAATGTGCTAATAACGTTATTCTGAGAGTTATTTCCCTCTGCATTATGAACGCGCATCTAACCCACGGGACGGCGCCGCCCGGCACGTTCATGTTACGTGTCCCGACCAATCAGAGCACACTGTGCTCACAGGGAGGGTGGGGCTGGAGCTATTGGAGCTACAACGAGCCGTTAAAGGCAGAGAGTGAAATTCAGTGAATACACGTAGTTTACAGAGATGCTGTATGAGGAACCAATGTGAGTTGCGTTTATCTTTACCCATGGATAAGAACGGATCCATATCGTCTTACTGCCATCCCACGGAGCTGTAATAATGGATATATTGCACATGTTTGCTGTAATTCATTATCATACTGCATGGGCTGTATGATTAAATCTTGTACCGTAAATATTGTATTAAATAAAGTTAATATTACCGACATTATTAACGTCCCTGTAGCTTCGTATTGCACTAAGAAGCTTATTGCACTGTATATAAATAGGCTATATATAAATATATATATATATACAGTGCAATCATTATTTCATGCTAAATGAAGCTCTGTTGGATATCACTAGATCCTGTTACAGCGTAATATAAGTACATAACGATTGATGTTTACATTAGCATCATTACTAGCTAGCCGCTAGCTGCTAACTGCCGCCTCGTTCATATCAAATCCATGATAACAACAATACATTACCATGCTGTCATGAACGCGCGGTGCTGTTACGTGTACGCAAATTGACGTGCTTGATGTGAACGAGCATTTTGGTTAAAGTTGCGCATGCTCTATGAGTGCACATACGGGTACTTCTCAGGCATGCTGGGTAATCTGTGACGTTTCACTCTCAAAAATTGGGCCATTTTATCATCATGCGCTAATGAGCAGCTCTCATAGGAATGAATGAGGCCCCGCCTCCCACGCTGTATCCAGTTCTTATTATACATCCATGGGCTGGAGCTATTGGAGCTACAACGAGCCGTTAAAGGCAGAGAGTGAAATTCATTGAATACAATACACGTAGTTTACAGCAGTGCTTGAATTGGAATGAAAAAGGTGCCAGTACTCTAAAATCAGCAACTTTTTCAAGTCAATTTTATATATACAGCCCACAAAAAAGAATTTGGCTACTATAATTCTGGTGGGTTTGTCTCTTTACTACTGTATATTTTAGAAAGGTTCACTGTACTTAACATTTGTTATGATAGGCAGCGGATATGGCTAAAGCTCAGTAAGGTCAATATTAACTGAAAATATAGCAATCAAAGTCTAGATCTTCTGCTGAAGACACATGAAACAGAGACCTTTCAGGTGAGAGCCCCTCTGGTGGTGTTCAACATTAATGACAAGGAAACAAAGCTCTGGTCAGAAGCATTTTTATAAAAAGCTTTAACAAAATTAAGTATTTCTGTACATTTTGAATGCAATCTAACTTTCCAACTCAGAAAACGAAAAACGAAAAAGTGCCAAAAGTCTTCTCACATGGCTGAGCTGCTTTGCAATATACTTCACCACTGAAGAATACAAATATGTATAAAGTAAACTATGATGCAATCTAACTTTCCAACTCAGAAAAATGATAAAGAGCATGAACAAAGAACATGTAAAAACAAATGCAAAATTTGCACAATCTAAAATGAGAAACTGTAACTGCAAGTAACAAAGTCTGAGCCATGGTAAAGAGTTACATTGAACACCAAGCTGATCAGATAACTCCCTGGTTGGTCTGAAGTCCTTCTATCTCCAGGATCTGTACAAATCGGCACATTATGCCAAAAGTCTTCTCACTGGGTGAGCTGCTTTGCAATATACTTCACATTGTTAGAAAAGGCTCCAGAAGGCCTTGGGGACATCAGTATCAGGGGCTGGAGCTGGACAGGCTCTTTCATCAGCACTTCTCCTTCCCTTTGCCAGCCAGGACCTCACATACTGTTCCGGATTGAACTGTCCTAGTGATGGTCCATTACATTTAATGAAAACCAGGCTGGACAGTCGGCTGACAGAGAGAGCATTCCTTTTTGCAGTAAGGATATCGTTCATGCAGCTGAATGCCCGCTCACACTCACTAGTGGAGACAGCGATGGTTCGGACTGCTTTCAGTAGAGGCTCCATGGCAGCAGGTGTACGGGATGCCCTGGTTTCCTTGTATTCGCGAAAGCCCTGAACAGTCTCTCTTCTGTCCACTTTCAGCACTTCGCACAAACGTAGCACCTCTACGTCCCCATACTGTACGTCTAACTCCTCTTCAGGCCAACTTCCAGGATGGATAACTTTCATGTCCTGGATTAGCTGATTGTCCCGGGCCTCCCGGCCATGTAATGGGATTTATCTTGTGCTGACATGAGAGGAGGTTGTGGAAGTCATTCTGTGTCTCAGATTCTCTACCATACTGCGGAAAAACTGACCTGCATGAATCTGTACAAGCCTGCCATTCTCACGCAGGGCAACACCCTTGAAGGACTTCTCAGCTAGAGCTGTATGAACTGTAGTCATGTGTGGGCCAGGCATGGTGACCATGGATTCAAAAACTCGTATTTCTCGAGTTAAGAGCCTATCTGCTGTAGGCAGTGTCATCTCTCTTTTTTGGAGTTGCCGAGAGAGGTCGCTGAGCTCTGTGAGCGCATCGTACATCAGTCCCAGATTGCTGACAAACGTTGCAGATGTGAGCACATCATCCAGGCCCTTGTACTTTGCTCTGTCTCTGGAATCCCTGCTCGTGTCGTTTGCAGCATTTGTGAAGTGATCATGAAGCACTCGGTAG